AATTCTAACTCTACCCTCTGCATACATTTTTAAAAGGGTAGATTATGTGCAGCACTTCGTTGAGGCTTTTAATAGGATTAAAAGTATTGTTTGCTAACCCGTATTTGGTTTTTGACCGTGTTTAGCAGCGGTATAATAGAAACCCCTAACGGAATTTAACTTGATAGGTGATTTTTGCTGTATGTAATGATTTAACCGTGGTTGAAATACGATTTTAGTACAAAATGTCCTCATTATAACTTTCCTGGTATGACCACCGGTATGGTTTCATGATTTTTGGTATGTTTTGAATATACATCAAGGCTCGGGTTGGAGCAACGTGTCAAGTCTGATTTAACTATGACTGAACTATGATTTTAGTACAAAATATCATATTACGACCTTCAGTGTGGTTGTACTAATTTTGGATTTTCTATGTACATCGAGACTCGGGTTGGAGCAACTTGTCAAGTCTGATTTTAACCACAGTTTAACTATGATTTTAGCACAAAGTACTCTAATGCTAACTTTTTCGGTATGACCTTAGGAATGATTTTACAATTTTTGGTTTTTCTGAACATAAATTGATGGTCAAGTTGGAGCAAAGTGTCAAGCCTGATTTAAGCATGGTTGATTACGATTTTAGCATAAAATACCCTAATGCTAACTTTTTTGGTATGACATTTGGTATGTTTGTACCATTTTAGATTTTTTCTGAACATAAATCGAGGTTTGGGTTGGAGCAATGTATATAGACTGATTTAACCACAGTTTAACTACGATTGCACCATAATGGCGGTCCAATAGAAAAATTCCTAACGGAATCTAAATCGCTAGGTGATTTTAGCATAAAATGACATAGTGCTAATTTTTCTAGTAAGACCTTCGTTATGATTTTACAATTTTTTATTTTTTCTGAACATGCATCGAGACTCGAGTTGGAGCAAAGTGTCAAGGCTGATTTAACCACGATTTTAGCACAAAATACCTTAATGTTAACTTTACCAGTACGACATTCATTATGGTTTTACAAATTTTTTTTTTTCCTAAACATAAATCGAGGTTTAGGTTGGAATGACGTGTCAAGACTGGTTTTAATAACGATTGAACTACGATTTTAGCACAAAATACATCGTCGCTGCCGACCGTAGACAATGGACGTCAACAAGAACCACGAGGACACCATAGATCGTGGCAGAGCTGAACAATCTGGTTTCATTGGGGCCGACCTGAACGTCCCATACATATTCAATAACGACACGGTAGCTGAAGAGGCGGAGAATGGTGGTGATGTTATCATGGTGGATGATGCAGCCGATGAGGAACTATTCAATGAAGAGTGGCCGGAGTAGAACGGGAAGACGGAGAACGTCAATGTTGATAAAACCAACAATTTGAGGCTGAGGTCGTCCCACCACTTCAAGAGAATGATGACAGCACGATCAATGTCGTCGGCGGTAACATGCTTGGTACGGTGAACATGTGAAGTTAATGTATTGGTACAACTAACGCCATCACATAATGGTACCACTAGTGAGTTAATGGTAGATCGTTAGTAGTGGTATTATAGTAGTGGTAGTCATATAGTGGTACTTCGTTAGTAGTATTTATTAGGATTGGTAGTCGCTTAATGGTACGTCGTTGGTAGTGGTAGTCATGTAGTGGTCTGCACATAATGGTACCACTAGTGAATTACTGGTAGAAATCTAGTCGTAGTCATTTAGTGGTATGCACATAATGGTACCATAATTGAATTAGTGGTAATGGCCTAGTGGTATAAATCTAGTGGTAGTAATGTCATGTCAGTATATTTTACAGTGGTACGTGTACATATATAATGTCACTTCTAATATTTTGTTTAAATTACAGATGCGGAACGCACATAACGGTTCGGTGTATTGACTCCTGGAAATCATCGTCACCATCGGCCTTCACTATGGCAAATGTTCCCGCCTCAATGTCTGGTGTGATGTCTGCCAAAGACTCAGGTATTGTCACAGATGAGTCCATTTCAGCCTTTTTTTTTTTTTGCTTGCTCCCCAGTTTGATAAGTTTCTACAAAAAAATGCAGGGCGGTTGTACCAGAATCACATGATGTACTGGTACATGTACAACTACTGTGATTGGTATCACTACCACAAGAGTTTGTACCAATACAACTACCACTACCACAGTGATACCAATTTAAAGTACCACTTCAATATACATGCAACAAACAAGGAAAACAAGAAATAAAGCCCGAGCCAAACCCAACGTGCCAGTCGGATAACGAAAAATTATAGACATATTGATTAAACTTTACAATACCAACTAGATGAGTCATTCAAACAGAGGTACTAGATATAGTTGTACTTTTACATGTACAAATAGAATTACTTGTACCAGAATTACATGTTGTACTGGTACATGTACGACTACTGTGATTGGTACCACTACCACTAGAATATGTACCAATACCACTACCACTACCACAGTGATACCAATTAAAAGTACCACTGCATTATACATGCATGATGCAACAAACAAGGAGAACAAGAAATACACCATGAGCCGAACCCAACGTGCCAGTCGGATAACGCAAAACTTGTACGATACTAAGACCTCACCTATCACTTGATCCTGTTCTGTTTTCAACCGTCGTAGTCAGGGTCGCCGGCGGCAGAATGTCCGACGTTGCACTGGAATAACAAACAAAATTGAAATGAGGGTTCCCGAAATTCAGATTATAGCATGAAAGCTGGTGCATGACGACCAGTTGAACGCAGTCAATGGACATTCAACCGAGCATAATTTCAAACGACTAGAATCTGAAATATAGGAGTGTAGGAAATAGAGCTGAGCTGACTTACCTACACTCTCAACGAACCACCCTTCGAAACCACCGGAGACAGAGAGCGAGATGGATGCAGGTAGGAAAACGGTATCTGCGGCGGAGGCAAGGGGCTTTTCCTTCTTCTTCTTAGGGGTTTTGCTAGCCACCGGAGGAAAGGGAAGAGGGATTATGGTTGGCGAACTATTTTTGGCGACGGAAAAGGAAACTGCCGACAACGTTATCTGCGACGGAGGGGCGAACAGTATCTACGACGGAGAGGCAAGGGTTTTTTCTTCTTCTTCTTAGGGGTTTTGGTAGCAGACGGAGGAAAGGGAAGAGGGATGATGGTAGGCAAACGGTTTTTACCGGGGAAAGTGACTAATTTGCCTCCGGAAAACCATCCCCCTCAAAGCCGACGACCGCGTGTAATCACACGTGGAGTGCGGAGGGAGCGGATCCAGTGCGACTCATCCCATTTTTACCCCTGCTTTATATCAGCCGCCAGATCAAGAGGAGGGGGGATCTATGGCTGTAATTGGGGAAGCGAAAATCACAACCCCTATAAGGGGTTGTGACGCTATCTAAGGTCGTATCCAACATCACCAGAACTCCTTGCAGTTAGAGATGCGGTCTCTCTTGAAACTTCTAGAAGTTTGTCTTGTAACATCCACGAAGCCGATGCAGAAGTTGTCATCCGTGAGCTCAACTTTGGTGTGGAGAAGGATACAGTGGAGGCCTCCTCCTTCGAGATTGTCGCTTTTTTCTTGAGTCTTTTTTCATTGTATAATTTTTAGTGCGGTTCCTCGGACTGCCAACTGGGCTGTTCATAGAATGGCATGTAAAGCCTTGTTGCTATCTCGGTTAGAGTTGGCTTCTTTTAATTTTATAGGGTGACTTGTTATTAGGATGAGACGAAATTGTGGGCAGTGGTTCTTTTTAACTATTTTCTTGGCATTACTCGGACAAAAAAAAGGAGGGTACTGACATTGGAAGACCGCTAACTGTCTTGGCTCCTTATGTGAATAAGCCAATTGAATTTTATCATACGTATCTTTTTACTCAAGTGATCAACCAACAAATTTAAGATCAGTCTCATTTGTTTCTTTCCTAAATTTAAAAATTTATCCTAAAATACCTCCAAATTTCATTGTTTTGCTTCTCTAGATAATTTATTTGGCACCAACAATCTAACAAATTTCGAGCATACTCAAAGTCACTAAATATAGACGAATAAAATTTGGGGTTGTTTCCCTACATAACTTGTATTTTTTTCGTTCTTAAGTTGGATTATAGACATGAGTTGCTTTCCGTGAATTGCTCTTCATTTCCTTTTGTGCCTTTGAGTTAGGCGCAACTTGCAAGGTTAATGGACTGCTGAACTAGAGGATTTTTTGAAATCCATATCTCTAGAGTTGATAAACATGTCTTAGGTCGTTTTGCCTCATTCAAAGCATAATGGTGAGAGAAAGGTTTGGTGCCACTTAACCTAATTTTTCACCTTGAGCCCTTTGTCTTATATTCATGTTGTGGCTTATGAGAGCCATAAAGACAATGGCTTAAAGTAGAACTTTTATAGCCTCGTCCGATGGATATGTAAGATGCTACGGTTTTAGTGCTCTCTATATATGTAGCACATGGATCCGATCCATGACAAAGGCTTAAAGAGAGATTTGGCTCATCCCAAGTCTTGTATTTCACCCCTTAACTTATGATTTCAGAATCAGTCTCATTTGTTTCTTTGCTAGGAACTTCCTTCGGAATTTCAAATCCCTCTGTTTTCATGTTTACTTCCTCTATCTTGAAGTTTAAACCATCATAGGGCTTCATTAAAGTTTTGAGTAAGAGGTGTATGGGCTTCATTAAAGTTTCATATGGATTCACCTCAATTTTATGGAGGTTTTCGAGTTCTGGAGATGTAGAGGCAGATTGTGGGTGCACAGGCAAACTACTTGTGTTGTGACTATGCATAGCAAGGACAATAAGATATAAGAATTTCCGACATTCGTATTAGCCACAATCTTTGCGTCAATTATCAATTGAGCAACTCTTAGTGGGGATATAACTTTTTGATCAACAGCTTTACGGTCCATTGCTCCAAGCCTCCAAGTACATCTAGAGAATTGCAGAATGGTGAAATGCGAAGAAATTTTAATTCCAACTTTTGACTTGTTATTACATCCATTTATAGCTACCCTAATAATCATCTCTACGCACTGAAAATACTTCATTATATATCACTTTTTGGCACTTCCCAGTGACCGGACCAAGATCCAAATAGTGATTTATGAAAAACTGCTTCGACATCTGAAACTGTTTTTTTTTTTTTTTGGGATAATTTCTGAAACTGAGTTTGATTCCACTACATTTAAACCCAAGAAACATAAGCAAAGAAACCCCAAATTTTAAATAGTCCTAAAAAGCAAAAAGACCCACACATAGAACCAAACCAACTCTTTAACAAAAATGGCGCGAAAAACTTAACGAGGGAGAAAGAAAGAAAGAAAGAAAAAATTTCTAGAAATCGCTCATTCCTCACAAATCTCAGAAACCCTAAAACGAGGTCGAACTTGTTTCCCCTTTTTCAGTGACCCTCAATGCGGACGTCCGTATCAGACCCACCGTCGCCCATGAGAGCGTCGGTGTCGGGCGCACGAAACGACGGTGGCTGAACCACCATTTTGTTGACGATCTTGTACGTGTCGTCGAAATCGTCGTCCAGATCCACCAGCCCGTTCTCGTTGGCTTTGCACTCCTCATCAGGATTCCCTCCAGGAGGGCAGGCATGTTTCTCGGAGGCTCTGATCAAAGAAGAGCAGAGCAAAATGGAGAGGATCAAGAAAGCCATACGAATCCCCATCTTCCCTCTCGAAACCGTCATTTCTTTCAATGATCGAGGAGGGTTCTTCGAAGTTCGGTTCTTTGTTTCGCGGAGATGGGTTTTGGTGGAGTGTGGCAGAGTGCTCTGTTTTTTTTTTTATGCTTCTCTTTTCCAAAGTATCGAGTGTCAGTTTTGGGGAAGTCGTGGTGATTTAAATGGGTTTGGATCTATTGGGAGAATTGCTAATTTTGGAGGGAATATTTTTTATTTTTTTATTTTTTTGTGAGGGTTTGAGCTAGTCTATAGGGATGCAAACGAATGACAATTGTCCTATGAATGAGGAGAGGAGCTTGACTTAGTTGAGTTAGTTCGAAAAACAGAGGAGAGGATTTAAGCAATTGATAGCCCAGTTTATTTGTCATTTTGCTTTCTGTTTTTTGTTTAAAAAATGAAAAATGAAGAAATAAAATGACAAGAAATGTGTTTACTTGTCTATTTCATTGTGAGTTGGGGGGCGTTTATTGTAGCGATAAGTTTTTCAGAATTTTCATAATTGATCTGCCCAATTTTATAGTTAGTATCATTATACGATTGAATTTTCGTACATGACTAGTTATTTTATGTTACGAGTTATTTTGGGTCGTAATGGGCATAGTTAGTAAAATGCGGTACGGGAAAATTATGTATAAAATACGTACGGATATTTTATTTTGTCTTTAAGCTAAAGTTACATTTAATAGTACGTCAACAATGATAAATAGACAAAATAAATTATTTTACAAATAAATAAATATACAAATAATAGTAAAGTTAACAATTTAATTCATTAAATACATATATTAAACGGGATATACGGATTTTATACGTGTTTACTACGAAAGCTATCAAATGAACGGAAAAAAATGAAACGACTTGACAATAATACGGATACGGAAGTTTAAACGGATAGAAAACGTACGAGTACATATACGTGTATTAAACGGAGTATTTACTAACTATGGTAATGGGTACTATTTTAAGATATCAAAGTCAGTTGAAGGGAGTGAGGTTAATCGTTATGTTACCTATCAAATGGTCCAGTGCCCAATTGCTATGCATGGCTCTGTTTAATGCTGGATTTGGGCATTGAACTTAGCATATATGTGACACTATACTCACTGAAATTCACCTTATTTCCCATACATAACATCTACACTGGTGGTCTAGAGATGAAAACGATTCTACATAAACTAAGAAATGGATGCACCAGGATGACTATTCTTCAACCAATTGAGTGAATTCAGAGTCCAGCGCAACAAATATCAAGTTTCTCATTAGTACTAACCCACAGTTGGATCACTTAGTATTGTTATATTAGGTTTAGATTATTATGCGTGCCGCTTTAAATGCCTGACATATTTGTGGCTGTGAGATCAGAGTTCTAATTGGCAGGGTAGACATGCTAGCTGCAACTCCATTGCCACTGTTACAGAAGTGCACAATTTGGTAAAAGATATAGGACAATTCTTATGCCCAGTCAAGATGCTCATGCCATGTAGAAAAACTGGGCAACTGAAACCTTCTTCAATTGTCTATTTTCATAGCATTTTGCTACACAACTTGAGACCAAATCTCCAAAAATAGGCAACAAAGATCTTACTTCAAGAACCAACTGTACTAAGCATTTCTCTATTCTTCGAGCAGCAATTGCATAAAGAGGTTACTACACTCACCCGGGTTACAACTTAATTGGGTAGTAAGAATCAGGGCAGAGTAAAATCACACCCCATGAGGACGAAAACTAATTTCGGTGCTAGCCATTCTACTGTTACCTGACAACACTAATCTGTTCTTATAAACATCAATACATCCGAACGCATCTGTACCAGGAGGGCACTCCAAGGCTGCCTCAAGTGACCTATGGTGAACGCCATGAGCATCAATCGAGTACCCACCGTTGTGATCATGCCCCGATACGCAAACCTTAACACAACCATGCCTGTGAATCAAATTCATTACCTCGTCGTAGTTCCAAAGCAGAGACCCTGGGAATGCAACACCAGGGTCCAAAGGTATATGACAACAAACAATCACATTCTGTTTCAGTTCTGTAGCATCCTTAAGAACTCCATCTAGCCATTCCATTTGTTCTCCTCCAACAGCACCATTGTACTTGAGAAATCTTCTGGCCACACCAACCAGTTCATTTGGGCTGTTCTTGTCCGAATTAGGGTTCTTGGAATTTAGGATCTCCAGTGCCAACAAGGTCTTCGGATGATCGTCGGGCCACCCAATAGCACTGATGTCATAACCATCCAACACAACAAGTCTATACCCAGGAGCCGGCGAAAACTCGTAGTAGGCACATCCATTGTCACGGCTCTGAATGTTCAGTAATGGCAGCAATTCAGCACGGGGAAGATTGTAAAGGCAGTGATTGCCAATCATATGATACGTGGGGCCATTGAATTTCTGAAACTCACTAACTACTTTTTTCACAGCATCTAGTGACTGGTGTTTGGGGCAATACCCATCAACAATATCACCGAAATTCACCACGAAGCTCAAGTTTTGGCGTTGGTTCCAGTTTCGGACCGCTCTTTGCAGCACAGTGATGCTATGTCGATAGTACCTGGGGACACCAAGGAAGGAGGAACCATCGGGGATATCAGCATACTGAACATCAGCTATAACCCCAAATGAAAAGACTGGTTGTTCTTCCTCCTCTACTGTACTTGTTACACGTTTGTTGGATCCCTCCATTGTCTTCCTAGCACAATGCACAGCTCTGGAACATTGAAAATGAAACTGCTCGTATTAGAACTCTGCAATTGTAGGATTACAGAATTGATTCTTAAGGGTTCCCCAATATTGAAAATTGGAGAGGGCAATACAATTTATCACCACCTACACAGAAAAGATTAACGCAAGAGAACAGATGTTTAGTTGTTAACAAAAAACAGAGCATCTAAACAGAAATGTTAATAGAAAACGAGCAGAACAAAGTGAAATATGTCGAACACGCTCTAAGCAACTTTCTATAAAGGAATACTCTATCTGGCGAAATTTGGAAGAATAAAACCCTAAGCCTAGCCATTTCTTTCAGCCGCCACTCTCTACTTACTCTTCTCTATTTCCCAATCAGAAGAACGCACCATCTCCTCACCTCTGCAAACCAACGAAATAGAGCAGCAAAAATCGCACCCTCCTTCTAGATCCCATCTCTACGTCCCTCTGTCTCTCTCTCGGGATCCTTTCGCGGACAAGACCGCAACTTGCCCAAACAGAGAGCTCGCCGGCGACCAGGAACTCGCCGGCGGCGATGGTAGCAGAGGCAGGGGGTTTGGGTAAGTTCTTTTAAGGGGTTTTGGTGGTGCACGGCTCCCTGTTTGTTGTTTGGTGACTAGTTTTGTTATAATGGTGAAATTTGTCGGATTACAATTTGAATAGCGTTGCTTGGGGTTGATTGAATTCGTTTGTTGAACAGAATTGATCAGTTTTTGTTGAAAATGAGCGGTAAGATGTATATCATCGCGATGAGATGAATGGAAGATGTGGTGAGTTTTTACCTTTTCTTGGATGATTGATGAAGGGGATGAGCCTCTGCTGTTTTCTCTCCCTTTCCTCTTCTGGGGTTTGGTTGTTGTCCTGGTGCGATTGTCTTCCTTGCTTGCTTTTGTGATATTCGTCCGTTGTATTTGCTTTTTTGCAAGGAAGAACGAAGTGGTGAAGGAGAAGAAGAAAGTCGGGAAGGTGTAAGGGGATTTTTGTCTCCCTTCTGGCTTTTTTAGATCTCTCCCCTCAAATGAGAGCCAAGAGCCCAAGAGGCTCTTTTTCTAGGAAGAATAGCGGTGGATTGGGCCGGGTCGGACCCATTCTGGATCGGTTTGAGGTCGACTGTTGCCTGTATTTGGGCCGAATTAGACTTGGCCTGTTGACGCTGGCCCTGGCTGCTGCTGAGTTGACTGATATGGACTTGGATTCGAATTTGGGTCAAACATTCACCGTGGCGGCAGCTTTACTGCTAGTCTATCTTAGTTTTGGTATTGTACATGTAATTACTATTAACCTGTTGGTAATTGATTGTGATTGTTATTATTGTTGTTTAGCATTGTACTTTATATTTGTAATTTATTTACTTTAGTAAGATTATTGTCTTATTTATTATCGGAGCCCAGTTCTCATTAGACCCAGCGCCTTAAAGGAATTAAGTTTGTGTCAACTTAAGAAGCATAAATGAGTTTTTGTGTAGTGGTTGAACACGTTTAAATAATTCCAAGTTAGTGGCTTCAATCTTTGTCACAAAAATGGCTAAATTGCAAATTTGGTTACTTGAATTACTAGTAAAGTTCACGTTAGCCATTACAATTACTTGATTCCATCCGTAGTCAATTAAATTAGGTTAACAGTTCAAGTTTAATCGATGTTGAGTCATTAAGGGAAGTCGATGTTGAGTCGTTAAAGAGAGAGAATCTTGAGCAGGAAGATGAGATCGAGTGCTGAGGGAGGTAATCAAGAGGTTGTCCGGCAATCTCGAGTCGGGGAGGGAGAAGCTGAGCAAGATTTGCAGGGAGAAAAATAAGATTGAAGGCGAGCTCACCGGGAGGGTTGAGGAAGCTGAAGGTTTGAAGGCGATTGTGAATGAGATGGAGGAGAAGGAAAAGACGAGCGAAGATGAGATTCTTGAACTAAAGTCTAAAATTGAACAATTGAGTGACCTGAATGAAGTCGTAGAGGAGGAAGTCGAGGTTCTTAAACGGGTTAGGGATTCCGCTTCATGCGACGGAATCGGAATCGGAGGAGGACGACGGTGGGTAGTAGAATTGCCACTCCGGAGAAGTTAGCGGGAAGGATTCATGCGACGGTGGAAAATAATAATTAAAGTAATTAGGACTTTTTTTAAATTTATAATAATTAGTTTAAAAATAAAAATAATTATTTAATTATTATTTTTTAATTCCACGTCACTCATTTAACGATCAACTATAAAAGTTGACCGCCACATCAGCAAAAGTTAATGGAGACTAACGACCAGTGACCAAACTTGAACTGTTAACCTAATTTAAGTGACTACGGATGAAATAAAGTAATTCTAGTGGCTAACATGAATTTTACTAGTAATTCAAGTGACCAAACTTGCAATTTAGCTTCACAAAAATACATGAAACCAGAAATCACTTGTGTCTGGTCACAAGAGCTAATGAGCATGGTCCATGAAACCGTACCAGAGACTATATCGGGAAAGTCAGCATTAGGGTATTTATGGTAAAATCGTGGTTTAACCGTAGTTCAACCGTTATACCGGTAAATACGGACTATCGGTTTAGCCTTCGATACTGGTATTTCGTGGTTGAACTGCTGGTACGGTACAGTTCCATGGACACTGCTAATGAGGCAGAACGCGTTAGGGTGATTGCTCAAAATTGAGTAATCACTGTGGCTACTAAAATCTACACCCTTCATTATCTTTATTTCACCCTAATTTTAATTTGACGATGAAGATTAGATTAAGGGTAATTTTGAGAATAAAAAAAAATATCACACACTGATTTTTATCCTTTATAAAATTAATTTTTATATATTATATACCTAACCATATCCCAACCCCATTCTTTATCGCCGTCAACACCTCTCCGGTTGGTGGTTCTCTTCCTCCGCTGGCAGCCACCCTCGGCCAACCTCCCACTGCCGGCGGCAACGCTCCACCCAGCTACCATCGCCCACTGTTGCGGGCACCCTCTCGCTGTCCTCTCTCTCTCTCTCTCTCTCTCTCTCTCTCTCTCTCTCTCTCTCTCTCTCTCTCTCTCTCTCTCTCTCTCTCTCTCTCTCTCTCTCTCTCTCTCTCTCTCTCTCTCTGGGAGACGGTTTTGGTGGATTGCTGTGGCTGGAAAAGGTAGGATGAATAAAAATCCTATATCTGATTTTTTTCACATTGGTAGTGATTTTTTCGTAGTGATATTTTTTTCGCATTGGTATTGTGTATTTCCGCATTGGTTTTTCATAGGGGAATTGTCGCCCTAACTACTATAATCGCCCAATATTAAAATTACATTTGTATCCTTTTTTATTGTTAGAATAAAAACAAAACTAATCGACCATAACCACCTCAGCCCGTCGCCACCGCTATCACCCTCCGACCGCTACCACCCTCCAAGACCCACGTGCATGTACATCTACTTTTCAATTTCATTGTTTCTAATAAATTCAAGCAATAAAGAGTATAACCATCAATGGTGTTTGACATATGGGTTTTCAAAGCTATCCACCGAATCACATAACTAATAATAAGGAGACCGGTTATTCAAAGCAACACGAAGAGCGGCGTCGGCCACCTGAATACGAAGCCAACGAGGAAGGAGGGTTTGTCACCAATCAGTTGAACCTAGGTTGAACGACGGCAACACAAAGGAGGGATCGCCGCCTAGGGAGGAGTTCGGCGACGGCAGAACAGGTGGTGCGCCGCTGAAAGCCTCCACGCCACCGCCCTCGTTGGAAGAGATGAAAGTCTCCGCGTCGCCGCCCTCATAAGACAGTGCATGTAGGGCTTTTCTGTTATTAAGGTTAATTTAGTAATTTTATATTTTAAATTAGAGCGATAATAATAAAACTAGGATGGTGTTTAGCCATTCAGTTTTCATAGTGGTAGTGTTTTTTCGCATTGGTGTTGTTTATTCCGCATTGTTATTGATTATCATGTATGCTTATTGCTTTTTTGTAAATGGTAGTGTTCTTTTTTTGTGGTGGTAGTGTTTTTCGCATTAATATTGTTTTCTCTTTTTTTTTGCATTGGTATTGATTATCATGTAATGGTATTGATATTGAATAAATCTGCAACGATATTGGTGTTTTGTGAAATGGTAGTGTTTTTATTTCTCGAATGGTATTGGTGTTTTGTGCATTGCTAATGTTTTTTTAATGAATTGGTATTGTTTTATTGTTACAGGGTTATTTACGGATGACAATGGGTCGGGTCGGGGACGGATAGTGCATATCTGTTACCCTACCAAAAGTAGTTCGGGTTTTACCCATACCCATACCCACATAAAAAACGGGTAGAAAATTCAAACCATATCCATACCCGTTCGGATTTCGGGTATCCACGGTTATCCATGGGTAATAGTTTCTCTTTATAACTCTAACCAATATGTTAATATTCACATGTATTCTCACGTTACGTAAGACGAAAAGTATGATAATAATTCACTAGAATGAAGAAAATTAATTAAAACAACATAATGTCATAAAAATATTATATTATATGCTAGATATAAAATATGTTTGAGAAAAATATCGATTATTTTTAGAAAAAATACATATGCATGTGTATAATCGGGCGGGTTCGAGTTGGATAGTGAGAGAACCATGCCCACCCATTACCCATAATATCCGGGTTCGGGTTTTATTTGTACCCACTTAAATTCCTTCGAGTTCGGGTTTTACCCTACCCGATTAGGTCGGATTCGGACGGATATCCACGGTTACGGATATTTTTGTCGTCCCTAGTTGTATTAGTTCAACTGAACGAAAATAAAGAAAAGATTGAGAAAAAGAAGTAAGAGAGATCTGACGGGATATTGTGGAAGTGAGAGTAAGAGAGAGAAAATTATAATTAATATACTTTTGTAACTTTTTAGGTTAAATACACTTGTATATCCAAAACTTTCACGGTTGCGCCAATAATGTCCAACTTTCCCGAAATATCACTTATATCCAATTCCTTCACATTCTTTAACGGTGTTTTTGGATATACAAGTGTATTTAACCAAAAAGATATTGGGAAATGGATAGATTTGGCAAAGAACAACTTTAAAACATGGATATAAGTGGTATTTCGGGAAATTTTGATATTATTGACACAACCGTGAAAGTTTTGGATATATACGTATATTGAACCAACTTTTTAAAATGTAGTTTATTAATAAAAGTAATTAATAATTTTTTTGTCATACTCAATTTGCTCTTACTAACCACGGTGATTACTATTTTCAAGTTTTATTTCCAGATTTATATAGTAATCACCATAACCTGTGTTACTAATGAGGCTGGCTCCGCATGCAAAAGTTCCAGGTGCAGCAGTACGGCAGCCAACCATCCCATGGACAATAATAGCAATACGAAGAGGCCATTAATTCACAGATTTATTGCCACCTCCATTTCAGTTGAAAGTCGACAGGGAAAGAAGAAACTAAGCAGAAAATTCAAACAAAAGAATTAAGTTACTGGTGAAAGACTATAGCCAGTCTCTTTTATTGGACGGTTGCAACCAACGCTAAATCAGAGATAAACAATCTATCCCTACGGGATGTATGAGTTAGTTGATCCTTCGATGGGAGTTGTCCCGCTGTTGCAAGACGACATGATGGGTGTCACTTTTGAGCGTCGGGTTATGGCGACTCACTCCTCTTCTAGCTAGTACTCCCCTGTAACCTTTCTGCTTCTTGGCCTCGGCCTCCTTTGTAATAAAACAAAATCAGAGATAAAAAAGAGGAGAACATTAATTCCTTTTTCTCTCCCACTCTTATGACTTATACAAGCTTTTGATGGCATCACAATCTTTGTCGGCCATTCTTTCCCTGCTAACTGTAATCTCCCATATTGTTGCCATAAATCTAACATGTCGCCCGGTCGGACCCCATACAAGCTTTCATGTTCCTTTGGATTATTTGTCGTTCCTCTTGTTTGCAGTAGGTACTGATGATGATCTTGCATTGTAATTGATCAATAGCCGCAACATGGTTGATGTACACAACAATGGATGTAATTAATTAAAATGTCCCACTTCTTGTACTCAAATTTTTTTTTATCCTAGGCCTTAGTTGCACGTTTTAGGTCATTTTTTTCAAGATTTAGTAGCACTTTATGAGAAGAAACCTAAATCCATTCATCGTTTGCATTGTGACGTTGTTACTCTGGTACCACTTGATGATGTCACGTTTGTTCCTTACACTTTAATGTTATATATATGAGTAGTTTAGGTATATATGTTGTTGATCAATAAAAACGAATATATATCATTTCAATTTTCATATATTTACCATTAAATATGATTCGAGAAGTTTTGATCGTTAATTTCAGGCTTTTTCTCTACTAACTTAGTACACATTTTGGAGCAATACTCACTGTCACATTCCTCAACCAACTCCATCCATTCATGATTCATGTACTAGAGAAAACAAGAAGAAGAGGAAACAAAGCATTCAATTCAACTTCACATCTAATCGATTAAAGTTTGCCCCAACAACCTCCATTATTAATCTTCCTTGCGGTTTCACACAATAACACCTATCCAGTCCAATATCAATGCTCTTCACTTCAGCAGTTACCTATATTTATTCTCCACCACCACCACCGCCACTCTCCCAACCCAACTTCCTTAGCAAACATAAAAAGATATCAAAGGTGCCAACCATGGGAAAACGACTCCTGGTTTCACTCATGCTTCAACTCGTCCTAGCTACATTGCTGCTGGTTACCGTGCAGGCCAAGGTTCCGGCGGTGATCGTGTTCGGAGACTCATCGGTGGACGCAGGGAATAACAACTTCATCCCCACCGTGGCCCGGAGCAACTTCCAGCCGTACGGTCGTGACTTCACCGGCGGGAAGGCCACGGGGAGGTTCTCCAACGGGAGGATAGCTACGGACTTTATCTCGGAGGCTTTTGGGCTTCGGCCCACTATCCCGGCCTACTTGGACCCGGTCTATAATATCTCCGATTTCGCAGTTGGGGTCACTTTCGCTTCCGCCGGCACCGGCTACGACAATGCCACCTCCGACGTCCTCGTGAGTAATATACATCTGCCCTGATACGAATATTATTGTTCACATTTAACTTTTTATTTTGGTAACTGTATTATTTACGTCTTCCAATTCACCCTCTAGCATAACATTTCTTCTAGTAATTGGCCAATTTTTCCATTGATTGTTAAAATTTCCACTATATTCATAGTTTTCCTCGAAGTATCCTTGTTTTTATATTTCATTTATTTAGTGACGTGGCTAAAACTCCTTATCATTGTAAATATATTGAGAAATGTTAAAGAAATCGATTAGTAAGTAGTAAGTACATCTCTAATACCATTAATGTTCAAACTTTTACCACTTCATCATCGTTAAGCTAATCATCAGGTACGAAAAAATCGGATACTTTCAATATCATTCACTTCAAAGATTAAACAAATCCTTCTAAATCCATCTATTCACTTACTAGTAAATACTCTGTTTAATATGCATATTTACGAACGTGTATATATATATATATATATTCTATGCGTTTAAACTTTTGTTTTCGTATTAATGTCAAATAATTTTATTTTGTCTCGTTCATTTGATGGCTCCAGACCTTCCGTACCAAACACATATAACATGTCAACTAATTACCGTATCGTATTTCACTTGCTACTACTTCTCTTGCATCCACAAACTCCAAAAATTCGTCCGTTTCAAAATCAATTCACTTCTCCATCATTGCAGTCCGTGATCCCGCTGTGGAAAGAGCTGGACTACTACAAGGAGTACCAAACCAAGCTCCGGTCCCACCTCGGCCAACCCCAAGCCGACCAACTCCTCGCCGACGCACTCTACATGACCAGCATGGGCACCAACGACTTCCTCGAGAACTACTACACCGACATCCCCGGCGGCCGGTCCTCCCAGTTCCCGGACGTCGGCGACTACCAGACCTTCCTCGCCGGGATCGCCGAGGGCTTTCTCAGGCAGCTGTACGGCCTCGGCGCACGGAAGATCTCCGTCGGCGGGCTGCCCCCGATGGGGTGCATGCCCCTCGAGAGGAGCGCCAACGTCGTGACGGGCCAGCGCGGGTGCGTGGAGAGCTACAACGCCGTGGCCGTGGATTTTAACGGCAGGATGAAGAAACTGACGGAGAAGCTCAACGGGGAGCTCCCCGGGGCGGAGATCGTGTTCTCCAACCCGTATTTTGCCATGTTGGGGATCATCCGAAAGCCTTCCTTGTATGGTGAGTCCTTCCTCAAATTGCTTTTTTTTTTTACTTTTTTTTTTCTTCTTCTTCTTTTCAAAACGTCGTCTCAATGAGTACTACTTGAATTTTCGTGGCGTGTTTGGTATAACCCGTCAATTTTAGTGTTGTGTGGTGTGACCATCCATTTTTCAAATTTGTCCGATCCAACTGAGACCTGAGCACTGCTCGAATCGTGACGTTTTTATTTGTATTCGCGTCCTACTTATATTCATGCTTAATAAAGAGAAAAATAATTAAAATGAAACCGTAATAAAAAGGAGAAAATTAGGCGGTGACTGAAAGTATTGCTTGGAAAGAATTGAGAAAAGTAACAAATATGAGAAAGAAAAAAATCAAAAGTATAGCGAAAGAGATTTGATCTCCATATATTTTCTGGAACTATTTCGAGTATTCGAGTGAAGAAAATTAGGCGGCGAAAGAAAGTACCGCTTGAAAAGATTTGAGAAAAGTAACAAATAAGAGAGAAGAAAACTGGAAATTTAGCGAAAGATATTTGATCTCCATGTATTTCTATTTCGAGTATTTTTATTTAATGTAATACTTGCATTTGTAATATTTTTATAATCATAATAATTAATTATTTTTTTAGTTATATATTTTTTTAGTTCATAGTTTCATTTATATTATTTCCTAGAAAAGAAATATATTTTCGTGCCTTGTCGTGCCTATACTCAATTTGGTCCACAAAAATATTCGACTCGACACAATCTATCGTGCCAGTGCCCATAAAGTCGAGACCATACATATTTGTCTATAGATTTGAATACTAGGATACATATATAATTCTATTTTTTTCAGAAAATTTGAATCATGGTTGCTCCATTCCTCGGATAGTATTAAGGGTCGTTTGACATTAATTGTGTTAACCTTTTTGTTAGGCATCTCTGTGACGTCGACGGCATGTTGCGCGACGGGGATGTTCGAGATGGGATACGCTTGTGCTCGGACGAGCATGTTCACTTGCAGTAACGCCGACGAGTTCGTGTTCTGGGATGCTTTCCATCCCACGCAGAAGACCAACCAGATCATTGCCAACTATGTGGTGGAGCATGCCCTCAAGAAGTTCATGTGAACATTGAATCATATATGAACGAACAAAAGACAGAGAGATATACATTGCTATGGTGATGGAATGATGGTGGTCTTGTTATGGGGGAGTTACAACATATGATCTTTAGCTAGTTATATATATATGGTGCTTATTATTGTGTTAATTTTCAGAATTGTTGATCTTTATCCAAGTTTTAGTCATATTGTATCATAGACCGGCCATTTGGAGTGATAGAGCCAGGACATAAATTTGGGAAGATATCTTTTTGGGGTTAATACAAAAAATAGCCAAACCTTTTAACTTAAGGATAGAAATAGTCAAATCTTTCAATTTGTAAGACAATTATAGTCATCCGTGGTTTCACCGTTAAATCGATATAAAGCATGGTTGGTTGCCCAGGTCTTTCGTCAAGAGTATGGTGTAGATTATGTAGAGATTTTCGTTCCAGTAGCTAAAATGCATATTGTTTGTAGTCTATTGGCGGTTGTGACTATGAAGCTGTTGTTGTTGCTTCACTTGGATGTGAAAAATGTCTTTCTTCATGAAGACCTTAAGGAGGTTATTTACATGTAACGTCCATGGGGGTATGCATAGGTTGGTAGTTCCATGCTTTGTCATCTTTGTCGGTCGTTATATGGTTTAAACTAGGCTTCTCGTGCGTGGTTTGAGAAGTTTCATGATACTACCCTGCAAGCTGGTTTAGTGCTCTTCATTTATGTAGATGATATGGTAGTCACTAGCTATGATGCGCACGAAATTCTAAAGCTGGCACAAGTACTACAGGCTGCTTTTAATCTTAAAGAACTTGGCACTCTTTCCTATTTTATTCGTCTAGAGATTTATAGACCCCTTGTCGTATTACATGAGAGTCAAAGGAAATATGTTATTGACTTGCTTGATGTGCATATGGAAGATTGCATAGCATGAGCGACACCTATGTAACAGAATCTTAAATTACGTCAAGCAACTAATGCGGATGAGCTTCTTCGGAATGGTTCTTTGTATAGTAGATTTGTTGAGAATCTGATTTATCTTACTCACACGAGGCCCGATATACCCTATATCATTCAAGTAGTGAGCCAGTTTTGTCTGCTCCAAGAACGTCTCACTAGGTCGCAGTTCAGAGAATCATGTGCTATCTTCGGGGTACGAAGGATGCAGGTCTTCTTACAGCTGGGGATGATGTGGTTATGGAAGCTTATGTCGATGCTGATTACACCGGATGTCTTGATACTTGCCATTCGACTTTTGAATGGTGTGTTAAGGTGGGTAATTTCTTCATTTCTTGTCGTTGTAAGATGTAAAAATATAAACAAACAAAAAATCGAAAATAACATGAGACCAATTTTATGTGGTTTTCCTAATTGATGTGATCGGTATTAGTCCACGCCCCACGGAGAGCCTGAGTTATTTTATTTTTTTTTGTTCCTTTTTCTTTTTTTTTTTTGTTCCTTTTTCTCTTACGGTTGGTTGTACCCTTACAACCATTATATACAAAACCAAAACACCCTAAATCCTTTTACGTAAACAACTAGGGGAAAGGGAGAAATGCTGAAGTGATCCATATATTTCGTACAATGGTCATAGAAATCACAACATTCCTCCTCAAGCGAAGGAGTGAATATCAAGAAGTCCGAACTTGACGAAGAGATGCTGAAACTGGTAAACACTCAATCCCTTCGTGAATAGATCGGTCGGCTGATCAGAAGTAGCTATCTTAACAAGAGCAATATCCCCTGACTGAAAATGTTCACGAACAAAATAACAATTCATCTCGATATGCCTGGTTCGTTCGTAAAAAAAAACTTAATTATAGGCGATGTGAAGAGCCGCCTTGAGTGAGGTGACTTCTGAAATTGTTTGGGTCAAGCGTTTCCTGGCCAAGTTGGGTGTGGAAGTTCGAGATTCATTCAATTGCATGGGGATAATATTAGCATTATACGAAGTGCTATAAATTAGAGGTAGCCAATGGATTGGATCCATAAATTGATGGATTGGATTGGTGGATCCATGGATCAAATGGATTGGATCAAGTGGATTGGTGGATTATCCATGAATCCAAATGACATGCTCAACCAAGGACCAATATGTAAAATGTGAAAAGTTTAGGTACTAAAATGTCATAATTAAAATTTTTAGGTACCAAAACGTAATTTTTCAATGATATTTTCACATAAAAAATAATTTTTGGGGACCAAAATGTAAAATTTTAAAATTACGAGTACCATACAGTAATTTATTATTTGGATCCATGGATTGATCCATGAATCCACCAATCCAAATGGATTGTATTAGGTGGATATTTTTAATGGATTGATAGATTAGATTGATGGATTGGATTGAGAATTGTTATCTCTACTATAAATCTTGTGTTGCATGATCGGACTAAGCTTATAGAGGTACATATTCATTATATCCGCCAGTTGGTGATTGAAGGAGGTGTGGAACTTGCATATATTACTTTTGAGGATCAGACGGTCGATTTGTTCACCAAGGTAGTTTCATCCACCCGTCAATGGTTCTTAGCACACATCAATTTGGTGGGAGGGTGTTAGACTAAAATGTAATTAACCCGTGCTAGGGTTAGAGTGGCAGCTAGTATATATATATGTGGAATGGTCGCCTGTCAATGTTACGAAACACCAAAAATAAGAGTAATCTCTGCCATTTTACAGTGGACTAGTCTCAATGTTCATCGTTTGAGAAATCACATAAACCCCGTGTTTCGTGTTCATCTACGTGCTTATTCCTGTCTTTGACACTTTCTAGAACAAGAATGCAAAGAATAGACGTTTTGAAAGGAAACGAAAACAGAGCTTTGATCGAGAATGCACTCGAGTCTCGAGCTAGCTTCTTGATTTTGGTATTTCGTTAGATTAGGTGTCGGTAGGATTTGGCCTGACTTGATTTTGCATAACCCTGAAGAACACCAAGTAGGTATAAAACATGACTCAACAAAAAGCCCACTTCCCGTTTTTAATTCAAAACGTTGTCTTTGTTGTTCAACAACTTTCCTCTTCATTCTCCTCGCCAGTTCGGATCAAGCAAAGCTTCCCTACAACTTAAAAAAGCATTACAGAACAAGAACACACGCACAACAATTTGCAGAAACAAATGAGCAGAAACCAAACACAGCAAACGATTTTTATGTGGTATCCATTATTGAGAGAAAGACGATCTCAATATTAATCCTTGATTCGGGAATCATAATGTGTAATCTCGAACGTTTCACTATAAAATTATTGACGATTATGTTTCTCAATTTTATATAGTCGTTGCAGTACTGTCAGGAAGGAAACTTTCTTGCTTCTCAACTTTTGTACTTCAAGTAACGTTGAACTCCGTATAAAAATAAAGTATTGTTGTTGAGCTTCCTTTAATCAAATTCTTCTGTCCGTTGCCCACAGACGAGTTTGTAAATTGGCAAGCTGCTCTCAACAGTTTGCAGCCTAGGCAGATTGTCCATTCATCCTGTACGTAAATCGTAGAAAGAGGAGATACCTTGAGTAGCTAAAAACCCCTTGAACCACTCCTCTCTTCTTCCTCCCAACATCTCTCTCTGTCTCTAGAAAAAAGTAGCAGAAAACAGGTGTAGGATGGGAACAGTATGGAGTGAAATTATAGTATAGTAATATAAAATTATACACACTTGCCCAATTGAGATTTAACACCAGCCCATAACGCAATGATGACAATTTGGTTGCGCCTAGACCTATTTTAGCAATAGCCTAATATTCTGCTAGTATAATCCCGAACAACTATTCAACGACAATTACATGTAACTATACTTGGACAAAAGTATCAATGATCTTGGGCAGAAGAGGGTGTGTGACATATTCACTACTATAGAACTCTATTAGCTACAGACTTCTCAATCGCTGTCCCTCCTACAGCTTAACACCATAGGCCTCAATTCTGTGTGGCACGACACTCGTACAACTTGCACCTCAGGTACTCGCACTTGCCAGCTACTGCATTCTCATGTCTCTTCACACACTGCACCGAAGCACCACCGAACAAGGCACACAATAAGAAGAAGAAGAAGAAGAAGAAGAAGAAGAAGAAGAAGAAGAAAACTCTAGTTTGTTTGTTGTTGCCTACAATGCTGAATCAACAATTCAAACACTTTAGCGACTACAACCAACAATAAATCCCACGCTACATTGTCAAAAACCTTCTGCCAAGCGGCACAAGGAATCTTCTTCGTGCCCGGTTCACCGACTGGAAGCACAGGTTCAGGGAGGATGGTCATCTCTAGTTATGTTAAGAAGAAGATCAAGGTATTCATCAGAGAAATTCTAACATAGCAAGCAATTGATAAAGGAGGTATGGATTTCGAATTTCATACCATCAGCAAAGCCGTCAAACCGGCTGTTGAGAAGCTTGCGAACCCAACGATCACTGTCAGAACCCTCAAAGGCCCAAGGCTGAAAAGAAAAACAAAGAGCAGCAACCACAGATACTTTAGGTTGTGATAAACATATGAAAATTCTAGAAAGATTTAACCAGGACCTGCATTGGATCTGTTTGCAAAAGGGTTGTGCATTTTATCCAAAGCAAAGAAAGTAACACAATGGGAATTCGATACGACGTCAAAGAAGCCAATGCTATTTTGGAGTTCAGATAGTGGATTTTCACTCGAATAACTACAAATCAGGGGCCACATATCTATTGAAGCATCAGGACATTCAAAATGCAGATTAGGCTGATGCTATCTCTACTGAAATTACCATTAGGAATTGAATGAATGATCACAGAAGTTTCCCCTCAGAAAAAGAAGAAAGAAAAGCATATTGGGAGTTTAGCCACCAATAGAGAGATTACCTCAATTCTTTCCTTGATATAGTGGTGAAAATAATAGTAGTCAGGGTTAATGCCTTGAGAGCTGTACAACACAGTATCACCAGCACGACGCAGCACACCAGCAGAAGCAGACGTAACGAGATAATGGAGGGTTGAAATATCTACAAGTAAACAAGAGAGGTTGGGAATCAAATCATTGACTTCTTCTTAAATTTCCACATTCAACAACTATCGTATTCGTAGCTAATCCCAGAGCTACTTATCAATCTATCTAAGAATTTCCACATTCAACAACTAATGTATTCGTAGCTAATCCCATAGCTACTTATCAATCTATCTAAGCTTAGAAGATTCTATGCATGTTTAATGGGAGGAAAAAAAAAATAAAACTACCTTGGGAATCGCCGGTGAAACCTGCGACGCCGGGACTCGGCGGGAAGTAACCCTTGGAACACCGCTGAGTCCAATGGCTGTAGACCGATCCCCAGCCGCCGGCTCCCAGTTCCCTCCTCGGAGCTTTCGAACCATGACTCTTAAGCAGAATGCAGGCCGCCATTTTTTCTTTCGCGGAATCGCGATCACCAGCCCGACGAAATTCAGCTTTTGCTATTTTCCGGCAACATAACCCTAAAACTAAAACGACCGAGACCTTTTTTTTTTCAAAAGGAAATATTTAGGGTTAATACCCTAAGTTTGGTCCGAAGTTTAGCGTAAGTGAAAGTTCTGATCCCATTTTTCAAATAAGACATTTATCCTACTTCTGAAACAATTGGACAAATTTTGCCCGACATAAGAGTTGACCGTTAAAACTTAAAACTGACGGTCAAACATTTTCACCATTAATGACTCAGCAAAAATTACTGATGTGGCTGGTCCACGTCATTAAATATTTATTTATTTATTTTTCTGAAAAATTGAAAATAAAATGAAACAAAGCAACAAATTCAAAAAATTCAAAACCACAAAGTAATTACTGTCAAAATCCCTAATCTCTCTCATCGGCAACTATCTCCCTCGCCTGTAAAATCCCTGATCTTCTTCACGATAGTACACTCGCTGGCGATTGATGATTGAAGAATGAAGATGACAAGATGCAGGGGCCACCGATGGGAAGATGACTTTTGACGATGGCGATAGAAGATGACGATTGAAGAAGGCGATTGATGATGGCGATTGAAGATGATGATTGAAGATGGCGATTGACAATTGAAGATGACGATGGCGATTGACAATTGAAGATGACTATTGACGATGATGATGGAGCTCGATGGTCTTTCTTCTTGCTCTGGGTCCGGCAGAGGAAGAAATTGGGATTACGGAGGGTTCTACGATTGACGAAACCAAAATCCTACTCTGTTGCTTTTCTTTCCTTGCTTTGGCGGTGATCCGCTGGTAGCGAGTGGGGAGGCGAGATGCGATGAACCAGAAACCTACTCTCTTGCTTCTTTTTCTTCAAAAGTAGGCCATAAAACAGTTTATCTTGTGGTGTGTTTGGTATAATCCATCAAACAGTTTCAGAAGTCACCTCACTCAAGGAGCGATACTCGACTTCGGTGGATGACTTAAACCTAATCATACTTCTTACGCCACCAGGAAATGAAGAAATTACCCACCTTAACACACCATCCAGAAGTCGAATGACGAGTATTAATACATCCTGTGTAATCAGCATCGGCATAAGCTTCCATAACCACATCATCCTCAACTGGAAAGAGAAGACCTAGATCCTGCGTACCCCGAAGATAGCACATGATTCTCTAAATTGCGACCCGGTGAGACGTTCTTGGAGCAGACATGAACTGGCTCACTACTTGAACGACATAGGATATATCGGGCCTCGTGTGAGTAAGATTTATATCAATCCCTATATTTGAATATGTACCTCAATACGCTTAGTCCGATCATGCAGAACAAGATTTATATCAATCCGTATAGCGCAAGTTCTACAACTCTATAAAACACTAACTGGCGGATATAATGAATTTGTACCTCAATACGCTTTGTCCGATCTTGCAGAACATGATTTATATCAATCCGTATAGCGGTGGTATTACCCACATACAATTGAATAGGGCTCGAACTTCCACATCCAGCTTGGTCAGTAAACGCTTGACCCAAATAGTTTCAGAAGTCACCTCACTCAAGGAGCGATACTCGACTTTGGTGGATGACTTAGAAACTCGATCCTACTTGAGAATTTATTTGGAAAAAAAATTCATGACGTTTGGAGTGCTGAGCACAAAGTTATGGCCGGTCAAAGTTTGGTGAAATCGAAAAATTGCTCGTTCGGGTTAGAAAACGAAGTTTTTCCCGGACGAATGCGGGACCAAACCGTCTATGGCTGTTTTTGGCTTGCAAGATCTCAAAAAATTATGCTGAATTGAAAAAAAAAATCGCTACAATCGGATAACCGAGCGCAAAGTTACGTTCGTTTGAATTTTCAACTCCATGACCTAACGACGCGTTATAGTCGGCGACAACATTGCCTTTTCTATAGACATGCTTGATGGCTACCTGTCAATCTCGAGACATGAGATTCTTGATATCCCTTACTGTGATATAGTGAGGGTGATGTGCCGCGGCAGATTCAATGAGCTTGATCACCGTGGTGGAGTCCGTCTGTACTTCGATGCGCCTTATCCCCGCGTCCCATGCCTTCTGTAACCCCAGATAAATTCCCATAAGCTCTGTTCTTGTAAGAGAACCATTTCCCAAATTCGCTGTGAATGCCAACCTCATCCGGCCTTCATTATTTCTAATAACTCTGCCCGCTGAAGAGCTAAGTGAACTTGGTATAGCTGAACCGTCTGTGTTAGGTAGGCCGTAGGGCCAAGCCTGGGATCTCTGATTAGTCGAATGAGCCCCTCCCTCTGGCCCATTTATTGGTCGATCCGACTGACATTCACTCCTATCCCTTCGCCCCTTCGCCCTTCTTCCTTCTCCCTTTAGGCTCATATATTCCCTTCCTCTCCTTTCAGTCGAGCAACTTCGTTCCTTCTCCCTACGGGCTCATAATAAACATTCGCCCGCTTTTCGGGCTCACATATGATAAACCTTCGCCCTATGGTCTCATATATTCCCTTCCTCTCCTTTCAGTCGAGCAACTTCGTTACTTCGCCCTTTTCTCTACGGTCGAGCATATGATAAACCTTCGGGCTCACATATTCCCTCCCTCTCCTTTTAGTCGAGCAACTTCGCACCTTCGCAAATTAGGCATTCACCGCTTTGGTCGGCCGCGGTGATGCATTCATCGCTTTAGTCGACCGCGGTGAATGCCCAAACATGTGTAGATTGAGAATTTTTTTTAGGTTTAATACACTTGTATATCCAAAACTTTTACAGTTGTGCCATTAATATCCAAATTTCCCGGAATACCACTTATATCCTTGTTTTAAAGTTGTTCATTGCCAAATCTATCCATTTCCCAATATATTTTTGGTTAAATACACTTGTATATCCAGAAATACCGTTAAAGAATGTGAAGAAATTGGATATAAGTGGTATTTCGGGAAATTTGGATATTATTGGCACAATCGTGAAAGTTTTATACAAGTGTATTTAACCTTTTTTTATAACGTGTGTATTTTGAGAATTTTTATAAAAACATGTGTATTTTGAGATTTTTTCCCAAAAGCCCAAGGCTGAAAAGAAAAACAAAGAGCAGCAACCAGATACACTTAGGTTGTGAAAACTTACAAAAAGTCTACAAAGATTCGATACAGAACCAACACTAAATCTGTTTGCAAACGAGTTGTGCATTTGATCCAAAGCAAAGAAAGCAGCACATGGGGGTAGTCATGTTAGGATACGTTATGACAAGTTGTACCAGACGGTTGCGCTAGCTAAGTGGAGGACGGGGCCCCATTTTAAGATGAACGCAAAATACACTTTCATAGCCATAACTATTCGCGTTGTGACAATTATAGCCACTTTTTGAAAAATACACTCATATAGCCACTTTTGAAAACTTGCTTGACAACTTTAGCCATTTCCGTTACAAACTTTAACGTCGTTAGCAATTTCGTTAGTAACATTAACATTGTGCTGATGTGGTCGCCAGCTCGGATTACACATCAGCTCCAACTAGACAAACCATACCACCTAGATGCCACTTCATATTTTAATTAAAAAAATTATATTAATTTATTTTTTCCCCATTCCCACACCGCCCGTTCACCTTCCTCCAACCCCCAGATCTCTTCGTCGAAACTTGAAAGTCAAAACCCAAATTCAGATTAAAGAAGAACCATCAGATGCTCGTCAGAGGGGGTAAATCTCTAATCAACCATCAGATGCCCGTTCACCTTCCTCCTTGGTGTCTCGTCCTCGATCCGTCTCGCAAGTCGGATTAGCAACCTCTTGAATGTACCTAGTTCGTCAACCAAGAGAGAGGCATGCGCAACGATTGGTTTTTCGCTCGAGTAGGCGTCATGGCCCAGGTAGGATATCAATGTCGGAGAAGCGGCAGACCTTATCGATGCTTTGACATATGGTGTAGATCTAGAAAGTGGAGCGAGTGGCGGAAGCAGCTCGACGGAGGCGATGTCGAGAAAAACTTATAGATGTTGTCGGCAAGAGCAGAGGACGAGAGAACCAAATACAGGGGAAGCAACACTTGGACTGGGTTCTTCTTATAATCTCCCTCTAATGGCTTTGATTTGCTCTGTTTCTAGTTAGTGTGAATGAGGAGATGAGATTGCAGACTATATGGAGGGTTTTTTTCCGGTGAGTTTTTGTGGATTTCCCTGTAAATGAGCAGGAGGAAGAATTAGTGGAAGAGATTGAAAAATCGGCGACGATTTCACGGTGGTGGTCGGATATGGGAGGCCGAGGGAGGCAGAGGGATTAGTAGTGTTTGGAGGAAGATGACTTTTTTTATTTTTTTATAGTTTTTTCATATAATTGCAATTAAATGAAAAATAATATTTCAACCTGACATTTTTTTGACAAATAGTTGCCACGTCAGCAAAAAAACGTTTGTCTATTCAGCATTTACAGTGATGCCGTTAAAGTTATTGACGGAATGGCTATATGAGTGTATTTTTCAAAAAGTGGCTATAATTGTCACAACGCGAATAGTTATGGCTATGAAAGTGTATTAAGCCTAAGATGAAATACGCAGGACACATATAAAGTAAACAAGAATCATAATTTCGAGGACTCCTAATAATATACCTAATAATGTATCTAAAGCATTATGTGCATAGTTGTTTGTTTATGTATGATAATGAAATTAGGATTAGAACTGACCCCATCGCCCGCATTCAGGAATTGTAGAAGCTCCAGAGCATGCTAGAAGTTCTTAGTTCATGACAAGGATCAATGGCCCTAACGGACTCCTGTACGAAGTTTCCAATCTCGTATATTAGTAGGACTTGAGACTTGATGCACATTTATTAAACATGTTTATGATGTCCGCTTATGCAAGTATCAAGAAATTGTTATTGAATTTGAACATATTTTACTATGATCATTTAAATAAAGTTTCCCGCTAATTTTCGCTGTCTTTTTGGTTCTTATTTTGATTAACGATTTATCAAGGGCATTTTGGTAAAAGTAATGCTCGACCAAGTAAGGGTGTTACAGGAACTTAATTCCAATATTTTTATAAGGTCAGAATGGAAATAGTAGACACTAGACCAAAACCAATAGGCTGTTTTAGTAGTGAAAATAGTTCAATTATGGGCGGTGAAGGAAAGTATCGCTTGAAAAGATTTTGAGAAAAGTAACAGATAAGAGAAAGAAGAAAACTAAAAATATAACGAAAGATATTTGATCTCTATGTATTTTCTTGAACTATTTCGAGTATTTTTATTTAATGTAATACTTGCATTTGTAATTTGTTTATAATCATAATAATTCATTATTTGTTTAGTTCTACATTTTTTTAGTTCATAGTTTCATTTATATTATTTCCTAGAAAAGAAATAGATTTTCATGCCTTGTCATGTCTATGCTCAATCTGGTCCGCAAACGTATCCGACTCGACACGATCTACTTATAGATCGTGCCAGTGCCCATAAAGTCCAGACCATACTTATTTGTCTATAGATTTGAATACTAGGATATATATAATTCTATTTTTTTCAGAAAATTTGAATCATGGTCGCTCCATTCCTCGGATAGTATCAAGGGTCGTTTGACATTAATTGTGTTAACCTTTTTGTTAGGCATCTCTGTGATGTCGACGGCATGTTGCGCGACGGGGATGTTCGAGATGGGATACGCTTGTACTCGGACGAGCATGTTCACTTGCAGCAACGCCGACGAGTTCGTGTTCTGGGATGCTTTCCATCCCACGCAGAAGACCAACCAGATCATTGCCAACTATGTGGTGGACCATGTCCTCAAGAAGTTCATGTGAACTTTGAATCATACACGAACGAACAAAAGAAAGAGAGATATACATTGCTATAGTGATGGACTGATGGTGGTATTGTCATAGGGAGTTACAGCATATGATCTTTAGCTAGTTATATACATATGGTGCTTATTATTGTTTTAATTTTCAGAATTGTTGATCTTTATCCAAGTTTTAGTCATATCGTATCATAGACCGGCCATTTGGAGTGATAGAGCCGGGGCATAAAGTTGGAAAGATTTTTTTAGGGTTAATACAAAAAATAGCCAAACCTTTTAACTTAAGGACAGAAATAGTCAAATCTTTCAATTTGCAAGACAATTATAGTCATCCGTTGGTTTCACCGTTAGATCGATATAAAGCATGGTTGGTTGTCCAGGGCTTTCGTCAAGGGTATGGTGTAGATTATGTAGAAATTTTCTTTCGAGTAGCTAAAATGCATATTGTTTGTAGTCTATTAGCGGTTGTGACTATGAAGTTGTTGTTGCTGCTTCACTTGGATGTGAAAAATGTCTTTCTTCATGAAGACCTTAAGGAGGTTATTTACATGGAACGTCCATGGGGGTCTGCATAGGGTGGTAATTCCATGGTTTGTCATCTTTGTCGGTCGTTATATGGTTTAAACTAGGCTTCTCGTGCGTGGTTTGAGAAGTTCCATGATACTACCCTGCAAGTTGGTTTAGTGCAGATTGAGAATGATCCATCACTCTTTCTTTGATCCACAAGTTGGGGGTTGACTGTATTCTTCATTTATGTAGATGATATGGTAGTCACTAATTATGACGCGCACGAAATTCTAAAGTTTTCGCAAGTACTACGGGCTATTTTTAATCTTAAAGAACTTGGCACTCTTTCCTATTTTCTTCGTCTAGAGATTTATAGACCCCTTGTCGTATTACATGAGAGTCAAAGGAAATATGTTATTGACTTGCTTGATGTGCATATGGAAGATTGCATAGCATGAGCGACACCTATGTAACAAAATCTTAAATTACGTCAAGCAGCTAATGCGGATGACCTTCTTCGGAATGGTTCTTTGTATCGTAGCTTTGTTGAGAATCTGATTTATCTTACTCATACGAGGCCCGATATACCCTATTTCATTCAAGTAGTCAGCTAGTTTTGTCTGCTCCAAGAACGTCTCACTGGGTCGCAGTTTAAAGAATCATGTGCTATCTTCGGGGTACGAAGGATGTAGGTCTTCTCTTTACAGCTGGGGATGATGTGGTTATGGAAGCTTATGTCGATGCTGATTACACAGGATGTCTTGATACTTGCCATTCGACTTTTGAATGGTGTGTTAAGGTGGGTAATTTTTTCATTTTCTGTCGTTGTAAGATGTAAAAATATAAACAAACAAAAAACCGAAAATAACATGAGACCAATTTTATGTGGTTTTTCTAATTGATGTGATCAGGATTAGTCCACGGAGAGCCTGAAGCTCATAGAGTTATTTTATTTCTTTGTTCCTTTTTCTCTTAGGGTTGGTTGTACACTTACAACCATTATATACAAAACCAAAACACCCTAAATCCTTTTACGTAAACAACTAGGAGAAAGGGAGAAATGCTGAAGTGATACATATATTTAGTACAATGGTCATAGAAATCACAACATTCCCCTTCAAGCGAAGGAGTGAATATCAAGAAGTCCGAGCTTGACGAAGAGATGATGAAACTGGTAAACACTCAATCCCTTCGTGAATGGATTAGATCTAATGGATTGGATCAAGTGGATTGGTGGATTATCTATGTATCCAAATGACATCATCAACCAAGGACCAATATGTAAAAATGTGAAAAGTTTAGGTACTAAAATGTCATAATTAAAATTTTTAGGTACCAAAACGTAACTTTTCAACGATATTTTTGCATAAAAAATTAATTTTTGGGGACCAAAATGTAAAATTTTAAAATAACGGGTACCAAACAGTAATTTGTTATTTGGATACATGAATCCACCAATCCAAATGGATTGGATTATGTGGATATTTTTAATGGATTGATGGATTGGATTGAGAATTGTTATCTCTACTATAAATCTTCTGTTGCATTTGCATGATCGGACTAAGCTTATTGAGGTACGTGTTCATTATTATCCGCCAGTTGGTGATTGAAGGAGGTGTGGAACTTACATATATTACTTTTAAGGATCAGACGGTCGATTTGTTCACCAAGGTAGTTTCATCCACCTGTCATTGGTTCTTAGCACACATCAATTTGGTGGGAGGGTGTTAGACTAAAATGTAATTAACCCGTGCTAGGGTAGAGTGGCAGCTATTATATATGTGTGTGGAATGGTCGCCTGTCAATGTTACCAAACACCAGAAATAAGAGCAATCTCTGCCATTTTACCATGGACTAGTCTCAATGTCCATTCATCCACTACGTAAATCGTAGAAAGAGGAGATACCTTGAGTAGCTAAAAACCCCTTGAACCACTCCTCCCTTCTTCCTCCCAACATCTCTCTCTGTCTCTAGAAAAAAGTAGCAGAAAATAGGTGTACGATCGGAACAGAATGAAGTGAAATCATAGTATAGTAATATAAACACTTGCCCAATTGAGATTAACCTCAACCCATAACACAATGATGACAATTTGGTTGCGCCTAGACCTGTTTTAGCAATAGTCTAGTATTGTTTAATCCCGAACAACTATTCAACGACAATACATGTAACTATACTTGGGCAAAAGTATCAATGGTCTTGGGCAGAAGAGGGTGTGACATATTCACACTATAGAACTCTATTAGCTAGAGACTTCTCAATCGCTGTCCCTCCTACAGCTTAATACCATCGGCCTCAATTCTGTGTGGCACGACACTCGTACAACTTGCACCTCAGGTACTCGCACTTGCCAGCTACTGCATTCTCATGTCTCTTCACACACTGCACCGAAGCACCACCGAACAAGGCACACAATAAGAAGAAGAAGAAGAAGAAGAAGAAGAAGAAGAAGAAGAAAACTCTAGTTTGTTTGTTGTTGCCTACAATGCTGAATCAACAATTCAAACACTTTAGCGACTACAACCAACAATAAATCATACCCTACCTTGTCAAAAACCTTCTGCCAAGCGGCACAAGGAATCTTAGTGCCTGGTTTACCGACGGGGAGCACAGGTTCCGGGAGGATGGCCATCTCTAATTATGTTAAGAAGAAAAATTAAGGTATTCATCAGACAAATGCTAATACAGCATGCAAATGATAGAGGAGAGACATGGATTTCGAATTACATACCATCAGCAAAGCCATCAAACCGTCGGTTGATAAGCTTGCGAACCCAACGACCACTATCAGACGCCTCAAAGGCCCAAGGCTGGAAAGAAAAACAAAGGGCAGCAACCAGATACACTTAGGTTGTGAAAAAAATATATGAAAAGTCTAAAATTCGATACAGAACCAACACCAAATCAGTTTGCAAAAGGGTTGTGCATTTGATCCAAAGCAAAGAAAGTAGCACATGGGGAATCGGATGGAACGTCAAGGAAGCAGAAGCTATTTTAGAGTTCAGATAGTGGATTTTCACTCCAATAACTACAAATCAGGGGCCACATTATCTACTGTCGCATCAGGACATTCAATATGCAGATTAATTAAGGTAATGTAATCTCTATAGAAATGATCTTTGGAATTGAATGAATGATTACTCAAGTTGCCCATCAGAAAAACACATTGGGAGTTTAGCGCAGTATATATTTAGGAGAGATCACCTCGATTCCTTCCTTGATATAGTGGTGAGCATAATAGTAGTCGGGGTTAACGCCTTGCTTGCTGTTGACCAAAGCATTATCATCACGGCGCACAACAGCAGAAGCAGAGGTAACGAGAAAATGGTGGGCCGAAGAATCTACAAGTAAGCAAGAGAGTTTGAGAATCAAATTTTATCGATCTATCTAAACTTTTGAACAGATGTAATAGATCAAGATACTAGAAGATTCTATGCACAATTTATCGGAGAAAGGAAAAGAAAGCTGCCTTGGGAATCGCCGGTGAAACCTGCGACGCCGGGGCTCGACCGGAAGTAAGTCTTCGAACACCGCCGAGTCCAATGGTTATAGACCGATCCCCAGCCGCCGGCTCCCAGGCCCCTCCTGGGAGCTTCCGAACCGCCACCACGCCCAAGCATACAGCAGGCCGCCATTTTTTTCTCTCGCGGAATCAATATTGCGATCACCACGAAGCGCTATCGCCTGCGACGACGAAACTCAGATTGGATTGTGCCGGCAATCTAACCCTAAAAACTAAAACGACTTTTTTTTTACAAAGGGCATAGAATTTCCATTCCTTGTGGCAGAAGCCAAATGATTACAAGAGATGAGCAATTACATTAAGAACTTGAATCCAATCAACCGGTAGATCTTTTTTTGCACATGATCGCGCAACCCAGTTCGCCTTGCAGTTTCTTCTTCTGTTGATGAATTCGAACCTGCTGGTCGGTGGTTCAAAGAAAAGTTCTTGATCCTGTTGATCCAGCCTGCTACACGCCATGGCCAAACCTCCATTGGGTTTGCAAGGGCCTGAACAAGGGTCTGGCAGTCAGTTCTAATTAGGCACGGAGCTGCCAACTCTTCAGCCATTCGTGTTCCCTCCCAAAGGGCCATAGCTTCTGCTTCAAGTGGGGAAAAACAATGCAGGGGCTCAGCTCTCCCATTGCAAACCTGTCCATGGCTGTTCGTAACTACGACGCCATATGCCGCCTCCTGTGACTTGCTGAAAAAGGATCCGTCACAGTCTATTTCAAAATCATGAATACTCGGCGGTGGAGAGGTTTGGTCAAGGTGCTGAGTGTGCTGAGTGTGGTGGGGTAAGTCTCTTCTCTTCCGAGGGCAAGTGTTCCATTGGTGATGGGCAATCTGAGCTCTGGAAGTAGTGATTGGGGGCCAAGGGAGAGTCCTTGAGAAAATTCGATCGTTCCTAGTCTTCCAGGTCTGCCACATTAAGAAAATCATATGCTGAATGGTTATAGTAGGGAACCTTGATTGCAGGGAGACCAGCCAATCCAGTATGTTCGTGAGTGGTGGCGGTGTAGAAAGGTCAGGCCATTCACGATTCCACCCTGCTTCTGCATGGGGGCAGATGAAGAGACAGTGATGAAGCGATTCCGACTGATAATTGCATAGTGGACAGGCCTCAGTTGGAGAGCATTTTCTAGCAAACAGGTTCGCCTTCGATGCAAGTGCATTCTTTGCACATCTCCAGATAAAAAACTTCAGCTTTGATGGCATAGATAAGCTCCACAACCATTTCCAGTTATCTTTGGCTGAGTCAGGGAAAGGGTTCACTGTTCCTTGCGTGCCTCTAGTTTGGTTGTGGAACAAGTGGAAGGCTGATTTTACTGAGAAGTCGCCTTGCTCCGAGCCTCTCCATGCCCAGAAATCATTCATGTTCGTGGGTCCGATTGGTGTGGCTCTTATGAGGAGGATTTCTTGTGGGTCAAGAAATTGCTCCAGCAGGTCGAACTTCCATTCTCTAGAGATGGAATCAATGAAAGATGCAGTTGAGGTTGGGTCTGGTGATCCATTGGAGAGGAGGGGCCCTGATCGATCAAACCGCCACAGATCCTTGAACATTTTTGTTGTCACCCCATTCCCAATGACCCTAATCACTCCCTGGTGCATCCAACATTTAGCTTCCCAGATACTTGCCCAGATCCATGAAGCTTTGCTTCCCTTCTTTGCTGATAAGAAGTCCCCTCTAGGGAAGTAGATGCTTTTAAGAACCTTTACCCACAAGCCTTCAGGGTTGGTGAGGATTCACCAGGCTTGTTTTGCGAGCAGGGCCATGTTGAAGATGTGGAAGGGTCTAAAGCCTAAACCTCCTTCCTCTTTTGGAGCATAAAGGACGTGACCGGCTTGCCAGTGAATTGATTTTTTTGTCATGTTCCCTCCCCAGAAGAAATTCCTCATCATAGAGTCCATCTTCTTTGTAGTAGATCGAGGGAGGAGAAAGAGGCACATAATGAACGACGGTATCGCTTGAAAAAATGCTTTTAGGAAGGTTTCTTTACCTCCTGGAGAAAGAAGAAGGCTTTTCCAAGACTCTCCTTTACTTTCCATTCTTCGGATGAGGAATTGGAATGTTTCTTTTTTTTTTGACCTTCCCCACTCAGTTGGGACTCCGAGGTATTTTGAGTGACAGTTTGTCTCTGTGAATCCCACTGTGTGAATAATACTTCGTTTTTCATCCTCAGGGACATTGTGACTGAAAAAGATCAAAGATTTTTCCTTGTTGACCTCCTGTCCTGTTATCGACCCATAATCATTGAGAATGTTCAGGATTCTCCCTGCTTCTCCAGTTGAAGCTTCTCCAAAAATGACAGTGTCATCAGCAAAAAGACAATGTGTGATAATAGGGCATGCTCTGTTAAGCTTCAAACCTCTTAGATATGCTATTTGAACAGATTTTTCAACCAGGAACGAAAGGGCGTTAGACATCAAGATGAAAAGAAGAGGAGAGAGAGGATCTCCTTGACGGATACCCCTAGATGGGATGAATTCCTCAGTAGGATTCCCATAGAAGAGAATTCTGAACTTCACTGTTGTAATGCAGGTCCTAACCCATTCACACCACGTCTCACTAAACCCATAAGCTTTCAATAACTCAATAAGGAAGTCCCATTCCACCAGATCATATGCTTTTTTCACATCAAGCTTCATCATCATATTTTTCTGTTCCCCAAGTTTTGTGCTTCTTGAAATGGTTGAGAACCTCATGTACAATTACTATATTGTCTTGTATTTGTCTCCCTCCTGTAAAAGCTGCTTGGAGCTCATTGACTAGGTTCGGCAAGAAAGGATGAAGTCTGTTAGACAAAATCTTTGTGATTACCTTGTACCTGAAGTTACAACAGCTGATAGGCCTGAATTGTCCAATCATCTCAGGGGCTTCAACCTTGGGGATGAGGGTGATGTAGGTATCATTCCAGTTGGGTGGCATCACATTGGTGTTGAAGAACAAGATAATTTCCTCGCAGAACAAGTCACCAATCAGGTTCCAATACCTTCTGAAGAAATGTCCTGGAAAGCCATCAGGCCCTGGGACTTTGTTGGCTCCAAGTTGAAAAACAGCTTTACGGATTTCATCTTTCTCAAAGCTAGCACTGAGGGCCAAATTGTCCTCTTGGGAAACCAAAGAGGGGAAACCATTGAGGATAGCATGGTCACAAGGTTCTGATATGCTTTTGAACATATTGATATAGAACCCATTGACATATCCCTCAAGGTTTTGGTCGTTGTTCATCCATCTCCCAGTTTCATCTTTAAGTTTCACAATGCGGTTCCTGCTTCTTCTTTTAATGGTGCTAGCATGAAAGAAGCTCGTGTTTTGATCTCCTTCTTTGAGCCAGCTGTTTCTGGACCTTTGTTCCCAGAACTCTTCTTCCAGTTTCCAGGCTGTGTCTAGCTCCTGAAGCAGGCCCTTTTCTTCTTCAATTACCATAGAGTCTATAATCGGACCTTGTAGCTCTTGTAGTCTTCGTCTGATTTCCTTTTCCCTCCTTATTTTATTTGCTTCCGAACCGCCACCACGCCCAAGCATACAACATGCCGCCATTTTTTTCTCTCGCGGAATCAATATTGCGATCACCACGAAGCGCTATCGCATGCGACGACGAAACTCAGATTGGATTGTGCCGGCAATCTAACCCTAAAAACTAAAAATACTTGGAGAAGGCTGATCACCGCCTCGGTCGATGGGTCGGCTAACGTTTGGGCCTTCGTGTACAAGGCCGAACAAGAAACAGATTTGTAAGCCCGTTGCCAAATATATTGGTGAAAATAGTTTGAATTATGGTCAAGTCATTATTTCAATACAAAATACTAGATAGTTTAGCATCATTCTTCAACTATTTTGATGTTCTAAATTTCGAAAGTTAGGATTATGAGTTATGACTCATTTTTCTCGTATGAAATATACTATAAACTCTCAATTTAGAACTTTTTGTATGTGACTATGAATAAAAGTTGAGATTTCTAGATCAATACAATCAATGTCTAGGCAAGACTTGGGTCTGAAAAATTCGAATAGACTAAACTATTAATTAAGAGCTTCTCAATTCTTACCTATATAGAATAATGCCCTCCATATATTTTCCCCACTACAAAATCAAATTTAGTTCCTCGTATCTTGATATATGTCACTTATTAAAGTTTATCATATTAGCCGTCTAGGTTTTGAAATGAAGATTCATAAAGTCACACAATAAATCTTTAATGTAGGGATGATTAAAAAAAGACCCAATATTTGGGTATTGTCCAAATCCATCTTAGTCTACGACAAATCAGGTTTGAGTGATTTTATTTTTGGGCAAACATATATACAAACTTTTAGTTATTATCTAAATTAGACTCGTAGTCTTTGGTATCCAAAAGAAAATGGATACCCGATTCTAAGATTTTCCTTATTTTTTGTTATAAAACAAACAAAAAGGTGGAAACACTAATATTAAATGAGTAATTGTGTTGAAGGTAGTTAGTGAGATGAATGTCAATTTTTTGCGTGTACAATCATGTGAACCCAAATAAACTCCTTTGATTGGTCCCAAATGAGTTTACCCAATTTAAACATAACTCAAACCCAAAATAATTAAAGTACATATGAGTCTATTTAGGTCTGACCCAATATTCAAATGACATGTTAATTGGTTCAAATTACCAAACGACTCGAACCATTGTCATTCCTACTTTTATGTAGGCCAACATGTTTGGTTTTAGCACTTAACTTATGTCACATGGTGAAATAATATTGTGTTTGCATGAGGTGAACACATCCATTCGCATAAAAAGTTTAATATGAAAGCTAAGATTGTTCATATATGTCTAACACTTGGACTTGATGTTTGGTATCAATATTTTGGATATATCGAACACCATTTTTAATATACCACTATTTGGCATAAACGAACATTGAATTATTTTTGTAGGGATTGTTTGGATTGATTTTTGGGGTATCATTTGATTTTTGAGATTACAGAGTTGGTATAGGTATATACTCAAATGCCGATAAATACCAAAACTTTACTATTAATAAAGATAGCAAACATCATTTGGTCATTCCTCATTGTTTGACAACTCGCAAGCCCCCATCCAATCTAAGCTTAGTTTCTAAACTTTTCTAGATCACTCTCATCTCTCACTGAAACTT